AGAGCACATACATTAATCAAACTAGAGTGGCATTCAGTAGAGCACATACCTTTGGCAAGGCTCAACATTCCCCTTAAATTCAATCAAGCTGCACCAAATTGCACACAGTTGTAGATATCAGCATACGACTATTTTTTTCATCAAGATCCTGCATCCTGGATCCACCCGTTAGTCCCAATCTTTGCCAAAATTGAAGTGGGCTCTCTTGGCCTATGTCCTATCTTTCCACTAAGTTTCAAGAAAAACCTCTGTCAGTAGCAACCAACAAACAAACAAGAACATAACCTTGTTGGCAGAGGTAACAATGTTTATCATATGTATTTTATCACTTGTTGTTATTCAACCCTAATATGATAAGAAAAATGTCATCATTTATGAGCCAGTGGGATCTGCCAGAAAGTCAAATTCTGGAAGACCTTTAGTTTGCTAACTTTATTGTTAGCTAACTATTTCAAGACGTTGCACAGGCTACATGACTTAAGCAGATATCAGTATTTTAGTACATTTCTAAACGTACCTGCAAATTATGTACATGTGATACTAAACATTGAGAAGCAGCGTTCAATGCCCCACATTTGTGGAATGAGCTCTGGGAACTGCAGATCCACTGCAACTCTTTTAAATCAGTGCTGAAGCCACTGCCTTTTGTTAAATCAAATATTTACTCACTGTTATACTATCTTGCTCTTTTACTTCTTATTTTATTTATTTATCTTTTATCTATATTGAACTCTTTTAATTTCTTTTTAAATGCTTCTTTTTTGTCTTGTCTTCAGTTGCTTTTACAATTATATTTGATAATGAAATAATTTATTTTATGATAAACTTAATTCCCAGACAGTATATACACTTGTTATGCAATGGAAATTAGTATAATTATACAAATATAATATAATAACTATCATAATATGATAATACAAGTATAAACTAGTAATTGTAAAAACAATGTCTACAGTAAGTAAGGTTAAAAAATGTTGCGTAGCTATGTCTTTTAAGGAATATGTACAGTGAGAAACACAGTATTGAGAAACATATTGAACTGTAGCCTTTAAGTTGAGTATATACACTTTAAGCTGCTGCAACAAAGCACGAAGGGGCACCAGTGTAACATCGGTATATGACATGTCATATCTGCTATCTTTTCAAAAACGGAAGTAACCGGTTTGTGAAAGACATGAGAACATTGGCTACCTCTCATTCCCACCACACCATGAGACTGATGTGCACAGCCCAGGTTATGTACAGTATCTGCCATCAGGTGCAGGAATCCAGACCATCCAGAAGTTACAACAATAGATGACATTCAAGCAGGAGTGACACATAATTCTACCATCCTTGATGTTGCTATGCAGCCAAAAAACAGTGGATTATTGTGATGGTGTTATGAGTCTATGGTAACATTGAGTTGATGTGTTTAGAAACAGAAGATTGGACTTCCTCTCGTTCCTCCATGAGCCCTGAGCCTTTGTCTTTGCACTGAATAGAATCTGAAAAGCAGGAAATGAGCGTTGTCGCAAGAGGAAATCTTCCTATTACCGCTCATTGTGAGTCGTAAATCAAAGGTGATTTGGGGCCGATTTATGAGCCTGAAATATTTCTTTGACCTTTTTCAAAGTTAGTTTTGCCACTTTAATTTTGATCATTTCGATTTTAATGAGCTGCCCTGTGAAAGACAAATGCGCAGTGCAATAGCTGATCTGCACAGATTGCTGCATCTCTTACCCAGGAAAAGAAATCCTTTACTAAAGGTTGAAGTCTGTTTGGGACCTTATCTTTATTAAGACTTCCAGTTCGTCAATAAGCAGTCTGATCTGAAGAGGGGAAAGGGTGGAGAAGTCTTTCTACTGAGTCATGCAGTTTATAATGAAACATCTTAAGTTTGAGATAAAGTTAGTATGAAAGCCTTTGAAGATGTATTGGATTTAAGAGTAGAATGAGCGATCTAGCCTCAGATATAGATCATGTGTGTTTATTATAAGATAGGGAACGTCTTGCAAGTCCTGCTTGTATTGAGTAAATACTCAATACTTTTTTTCGAACTCCTGCTCAGTCAGATAGTAAAATGCACCTCAATCTGGGTCTGAACTCACATGAGAAGCTATAAACACGTCTGACTCATTTACCATAGTAACCACAATATATAGAAAACAAATAGGTGGTACTGATACTTCAAATAACACAGATGAAAACTTGGAGAGGAGTTTCCTGCAGCGTTGTTCAGGAGAATCTTTGAGTTTCAGTCCACTGTGTGAATGAGTCACAGGCTTGGTTTTAGTGAAAATTCCCATCTATGGTCTCAAGCTATTAAGTCATCCACTTTGCCTTGACATGTTGTGAAGCGGTTGCTTGTCTCCAACCTACTTTACACAAAGCTTTGTCTCAGCAGACAAGCCAACCAGCAAGGTATTTGGCCGTTCCTGTCCATCTCTTTGCCAAGACTAACTGATTCAGCTGCAATCCAAAGAATCCTCAGCATAAAAACGATTCATCCACATGGCATTTTTTGGATCCAGGATCAAATGACAAATTTGTCTTGCGGACGACAAACAGAAAACTTGTACAAAAGTTTTCCGTTTTCTGCACCCATGGGACACCTCACAGCACCTTCTAGGGTTCGTAGCATATTTCCCCTCTGAGATTAAGTGGGAGTTTTTCACGTTCTCAGTAAGGTTCTTAGTGTAGAGGATTTCACTGTTTTCATAATGTGACAGGCCTGCTCAGACTATATTTAACAGTTGATCTGTTGATCTGTTTCAACTCTCAAACCACAAAAGGCTTCAACGGTTATTTATAGAGCTGGAACAAAACTTTCTTCCCTTTTCAAAGATGAATTTTGTTGGAGCAAATTATTTTTGGATGGCTAAAATAGTCGAAAGTCGTGAATTACAGATGGGAATTTGTTTACATATACTTTTTTTAATAGTTGACCTTAAATGAATGGTTTAACATTAAAGGAAATATCTGTAATGACTTGCTTGCTAGGAGTTAGAAAAGATGATTTATGCTTCTCATGTGTCTCTATATGCTAAATATGAAGCCATGACCTGCAAGGTGAACATCACAATGAAAACAGTTAAAGGTCAGGATAAATGTTCGTAGTCATGCTACCTTGTCTCATGAGAGGAAGGTTGAGCATGAAAATGGACAATGGGTGGATCCATTTTAAGCACTCCTGGTTTTGGTAGTCAAATCAACTCACTTTTAGACTCCCTGTAGAAGCCTATAGATTTCAGCAGCCACGTTTTGTTAAAGGTCCAGTGTGTTAGATTTAGGTGAAAGGGAACTATTGGCAGATATTTAATGTAGAATAATTCTCATGTTTTCACTAGTTTATTTCATCTAAATTGTATGAATTGTAGTTTTCTTTGCCCCAGAAAATACTCTTTATATTTAAACACTTTATATTTACATTGAGGAGACCATCTCTACAGAGGCCGCTATCTTTTTTACATTAGTCCAAACTGGACAAACTAAAAACCTTTTGAGTTTTTATGACAACTGAAGGCTACCACAGGTTCTTTTTCACTTTTTGAAGGAAAGGGTGAGGTGAGGGGTGTTCAGCTGCAACATGCAACTTCAACACTAGATATCATAAGATTCTACACATTGTACCTTCAAGAGCTGAAGCCATGAAGAGTCTTGATTTCTCGACAATTAGGATTTGACCTCTGACAGGAACCTTCTCCAAAGTAACAAGCCACACGAGGCCCTTTTGTAGACATTTTATGGACTATCGCAGTTGTCCTATTAGATGACACTGCAGATGCAGTGCGGCTGCTAGGCTGACTCCACATACTCATATTTATTAACATATAGTAGGTCCCAGGTTGAAAAAAATAACAGAATTACCATTAAGATCTAAAAGTTACCTGTTTCTATCCAGAATGGTTTCTGATTATTTTTGTTAGGAAAGGTACTGTACAGTTAAGAATGCATTTCTGGTTTGGCTAAAAAGGTTAAATAAAAGAATAGGGTTTTGGTTTTCAGTGATTTAGTGGATTCTAGAAATAATCCTCTAATTTGTCCACATGTGTCTCTAATAAAATTTGTTTGATAATTTAATACAGCTCCGTACAGCGGGACCAAACCCTGCTCATACACCCAGAACACATGAAGCATGACTCATTGCACTACTCCCTTTGACAGAGAGGTGACCCCATGTACCACCCCACACCCAACCGCCCCTCCGCTGACTCCAGATGTTACATGAAAAGAGCACAGTTATTGGCCAGAGTCCAACTCTGTCCAACACACACACACACACACACACACACACACACACACACACACACACACACACTTCTGCATGCTCACACACACATACATGCACACAGACACAAACACACAATGTCATGTAACACACACAGGATATAGGACTGAGGGGGGATGTTGTGTGATATGTTGAACAATGGGGGAATGAAGAATTCCCCTAAATGGGTTTGACTGAAGATATGCAAAACAAAAACTATTTTATGGTTTAAGGCTATAAAGTTTCCTTACGGCTGTCAGACAATAATTACTTTATTAGCTGCTGATTTTATCTGGTTGACTGCAGATTAAAAGTGTATCTGATACTGATGAAAGAAATTTGTAGAGTACTTGTTGTATTGACTCATGGCGGGACACTAAAACAATAACTGCACCTTTTGTTTGCATAAGGATACTCAGTGACTCATGTGATCAAGACTAGACTTGCAGGTAATTATTAAACCAGTCAAATTTATACATGCAGACAAACAGTACACAAATACGCACACACACACANACACACACACACACACACACACACACACACACACACGCAGACTAGTTGCATAACAGTTTCCTCACAGGAGTGGGAAGAAACCAAACCCTGGTCCTTGAAGGAAAACAAACAGAGGTTCTGCTCAGCCTGTGGTGGTAGTGTTAAGGAAAACTCCCTCCTTCCCTCTCAGCCTCCCTCCTCCCACACTGACCCCGCCCTGGTCCAGCACTATATCAAGAGCCTGCCTCCCTTTATCAAACTCTACAGTCCTGCTACAGTCTACAGCTGTACAACAGTCCTCTCTCCTCGTGTCCTCTCGTGACCAGCAGCCAGCCAGCCATCATGTATGCAAGCCACAGCACGATCAGCGGCCCCTCCATGATGAGACAGAGCCGCAGCTACACAACAAGCAGTCTTCCCCACAAGGCTCACAGTATATCAGGATTCAACTTGAGAGGCCCTCGCATCTCATCTTCCCAGGTGCGCACCCTCTCCTCCGGGTATGGAGGTGGCATGGGTTGCATTGACCTGTCCAACGTCCTGGATCAGTCCCACGTGCACCAGAATGAGAAGGCCACCATGCAGAACCTGAACGACCGTCTGGCCTCCTACCTGGAGAAGGTCCGCTCTCTGGAGACGGCCAACACCAAGCTGGAGAAGCAGATCAGAGAGTACTACGAGCAGAAGGGGCCTGCAGCAGAGAGGGACTACAGCAACTACTGGGCCATCATCAATGACCTGAAGGACAAGGTATAGTGTGTACCAACTTCGACAGCTTTAACACCAGACAAGTCAAATGTTTGCAGTGCAGTTAATGATTATCAAGAGAAGGGTTAAAGAGGGTAAAAGAGTAACTACAAATTGTCACGTCATAACTATGTCCTGACAATTTCCCTTGTGCATGGGATTGTATTTTTTTTTCTTGTTAATATAGTGTGTATGATGTTTGTGATGAGGGTTGAGTTTACAATGAAATGATTTCTCAAAGCTCAACATGAACAAAAAAGGTTGTTAAGTGCTGTGAAACATGATGCACAGCTACTGTGATGAATCAGATGCAGCTTTCTCACTACAAAGAGTCAGGCCTCTGGTGCAAACATATCAGAATTAAAACCAGTTGATTAACTACTTTAAGTAATTTATATATTTGAATTGTATTGTAACCCCCCCCCCCCCATTGCTGCTTTTCAATAAGATCGCTGCTGCCACCATCGGCAACGCCAACATCCTGCTCCAGATTGACAACTCCAAACTGGCTGCTGATGACTTCAGGACCAAGTAAGCATGAGTCTTGATACTTCTGTGGACCTATCCTCATCTTGGAGAAGTTGAAGTTGTTGCTCATCACCGCTCTCTCTTCATTTTCAAACTTGTTAGATTCGAACATGAGCTCATGATGCGCCAGTCTGTCGAGGCTGACATTGCCAACCTGCGTCGCCTGCTTGACCAGACCACCCTGACGAAGGCCGACTTAGAGATGCAGATCGAAGGCCTGCAGGATGAGCTGGCCTACCTCAAGAAGAATCACGCAGAGGTGACTGACACACTTCCTCCTGCTGTGATAAATACTGCTTGCTATTATAATGGGAATCTGCTTCAACACACCTGTAGATTTCTGAAACTCTGCCAAAAGATCTTAACGCTAACTTCTCTCTCCTCCCATTGGCTGTTTAGGAGCTGGCAGCAATGCGCTCTCAGCTTACCGGCACCATCAACGTGGAGGTCGATGCCGCACCCCAGCAGGACCTCAACAAGGTCCTGGATGAGATCCGTGCCCAGTATGAATCCATCACCGACAAACACCGTCGCGACCAGGAGTCTTGGTTTAATGAGAGGGTGAGAAGGTTTTCCCATAAACAAAGGCAACTAATCCCACACGTTGCAAATGACTGGGTTCACTCCCTCCGCAGTCTAACCTGTAATTAAACATAATCCTCTGTGACAGCAATCAGCAAAACTAAACATGACTTTATTTCTCTCTCCAGTCGGCAACACTGACCAAGGAGGTGGCCATTAGCACAGAGACAATCCAGACGTCCAAGACAGAGATCAATGACCTGCGGCGCACACTGCAGGGCCTGGAGATCGAGCTGCAGTCTCAGCTCAGCATGGTGAAACCCCCCCCCCATCTCTAACCCAAACCATCTGTTCTCATCTTACTGATCTTGCCTTATATGAGCAACATTCCCTGATCCCTGTCTTGTTAAGGGGGGAAATGAAGAAACAGCCAGTGTTAGAGGGTCAAGAGCAGAAGGGTGAAAGAAGAAGACTTTACTGAAAGATGGAAAGCAGGGTGGGAGAGGGAGAGAGATAAGAATGATGGGAGCTGTATTCGAGAGAAAGGAGGGGCTCCCGCTGGGGAAAACATTTCACAGACATCTGCTCAAATTCTGAAAATTATCAAAGAGCTTGAAGTAAACTGCAGGAATGCGGGAGTGCATCGCCCAAAAAGGTTGCACTCCCACTCCCATGAGTGTGCCCAGCTGGGGTCAATCCTTCAACACTCCCTGCAGGAGAAACACACTGCTCCTGTGCAACAGAGGAGCAGCAGAGAAGTCACTGCTACTAAAAACCTTCTACACACACCTCTGCTATTCCAAAATGGAATGCAGACATACCTTTGTGTCTGTCTGACATAAATAATCCAGGGTGGGGCTGGTGGTTACACACTATAGCTTGAAATTGTCACAACTTTCCCAAATGATTCACAACGGTGAAATATGCATGTTGCAAATCAAGTTTTTCCTTTACCTCTCCAACAGAAAGGGGCGCTGGAGAACACGTTAGCGGAGACAGAGAATCGTTACAGCATAATGCTCAACGGCTTCCAGAACACAATCAACATGCTTGAGGCAGAGCTTGGCAACGTGCGCGCCAGCATCGAACAGCAGGGTCAGGAGTACAAGATGCTGCTGGACATCAAGACCAGGCTGGAGCAGGAGATCGCCACCTACAGGAGCCTGCTGGAAACAGAGGAGTCCAGGTAGATAGGGGCAATACACACGTGCATGCTGATACTCATGCTGATACCAATTATTAAGAAGATAATCACATGGCCTCTCCTCTAACTGTTTGTCTTTACTGTTTCCTTCCATCTCTCTCATGACAGACCAACAGGTAAGAGATGTCTGTTTCAACAAGTTACAATATAACCAAAGTGTATTAAGTGTAATTACAAACGTCATGATCTTTTTTGTTTCTTTTTAACAGGGGGCTCAAAGACCACAGTCACAACCACCACTGTGCGCAGTTCCAGCTAGAAGGTCCAACTGGCAGGACAAGCTGTTCTCCAACACACACACAAACACACACTCACACTATATGAAACTGTACTGGAAAAAACCTGAGGTATGATGAAAGAGACGCCTGTGTCAAAGTTAAAGCATGAAACATTTGCAGTTTAGAAGAAGAAATACATGATGTACAGTGTGTGTTTGTCTGTGTGACTGGTTTGAAAAATAAATATGCTGGTGAACATGAAATTTGTGTTGTTTAGTGACTTTTTGGCATCGACATCTTTTTCCATAACACCGGCCTGTTTATGCAGTCGTCATAGCAACTGCATTACGTTCTGGGAGGTGGGATGTGAGGGTTATGTAACAGGAGCTGTTGTCAGGAAAGGGTGAACAATGGTTCCCAGCTCCCAGAGTGGAAAGCATTAGTATCCAGAGAAGAGCGAGTGTTGAACTCTATGCTCTGCAAACTAAAAGCAGCGCAGGAAAAACTTTCAGAAAAGTGCAAATTGTGTGAGCAAATAAAAGTGAATGACCCAAAGAGCTTTTTAAAACAAGGCACACCCTGGCGGCTGACTAATCTTTGCCCCGGAGGCTTTTCAACAGTGTTACATGAAGCCTGTCACCTAGTAACAAGAACACACAGGGTTCACGACAGAAATATTGAGTGGGAATGCAAACACTGACTAACCAAACAAAGAGAGTCACTGTGGAAACAGGTGCCATCAGGTATCGCACTTTGGCCTCTGTATATGCGTTCTGATCGAAAACAGACAACCAATGAGCTGCTGTGATAAAGCTCTGTGAAGGGTGGGGCTCCTCGGCCACAGCACAGTGACTTCATGCATGTTTTGTGTGGAAGAGGACAGGGAATTGTTATGTCCATGTGGTGTGTGTTAGAGAGACACAAGTACAGGGGGAGTGAGAGCAGCACTTGAGCCGCTGCGCTTGGTAAAAGTCAGTGTCGGAAATTACAAAGAAATCCTATGAAGAATTTGCAATTCTTGAACGATGGTGTAATGTTGGTTTTGGAAAAGGGAGAGATTACAGAGAGGATCCAATTGCAAAATGCAGCCCCCCCTCTGAGGAGCCTCACTCAGCCATATTTGGACCCATTTCTCTGCACATCAGCGTCTCTTGCACACTGTTATAATGATAGTTGATGACAAAGCCCTTAGAGTTATGCATGTAATTAGATGTGAAAATCTAGAGGTCATAGAGAGGCGTTGCCTCAAGATCAGACCATTTTACCCAGATCAGTGTCAAACCCACTAGTCCTGTTGAGGAAAACCTGCTACAGAGCAAAGTAGATTAAGATGCTGCTGTATTAATTACAGTACTTTAAAGTTGTTTCCCATGTTTATAATGTGGGTAATGTGGGTGGTTTCATAATTTCAGTGTCTAAAGAAGATACGAATGCTTAAAGTTGTCTGTGCATCCATGTTCAAAATGACAGTATGTGAGATATAGATAATGCATTAAAGAATATAGACTATATAATATCGGATGTTGCCCTAATGCTAAACAAGTTAAAAGTAATTTGTAAAGACCCCATTGTTCAAGGTGGATAGTTTTGGGATTAGTAATTAACTGTATGAATGGCTATAGAGACAGTGTAGGTGTTTAAGAAATAGTTAGACATTTTGGCAATGACATCACAGTTTACTTTGAGCATGCCCACTATTGCTTTGTGTAATGTGCCAGGAACAACAACAAAAATGGAGACAACCTGTTTCTCCATGTTCTTTTTCTTTTCTCAGTTTACTGGCGGATAACAAACAACAAGAATCATATGCATCATATCAAGAATCAAATGAATCCGTCTGGTTAGCAAGAAGCTCACTCACTATGCTCACAATGTTCTTCTCTGGTGTTTGAGGGATCGTTGATCAACATGTATTGGTATGGCGTGAGCGTTTGTAGTAATTTTTGTGTTCTCGCCTGGACAGAGATATTTTGTCAACGTTGCTCCACTTTCTCCCAATATGCAGAAATGAAGCCAAAATATATGAAAGCTACCATCTTGTTCATTTGGAGCCAGATTTTGTGCAGTACTAATCAGGGTATGGAGTGGAGATAGGGAGGTCTCGCCAACAGACAAGCTCGACCAATCGCAGGTCTATCTCAGCTGTCTGTCATTATATGTCACCCCAGTGAAAGCCCAGGATGTAAACAAAGCAACTTGGACTCACAGGGGACTAGTGCTGGTGATTCATAGTAAATAAAGAGTTTCACGGCAGATAATGCGTTATTTAGAGGCTGTATTGTGGATGCCCCAATCACCTGGTGGATATACGCCGATTGCGTGTGGATCTAAAAGCATCCGAAGGACTCCAAGTTACTCCAAACCTTTATGGGTAGATCTACATACCATATGCTGGAAATAAGGAACAGGTTGAAAAAAATCGAACTTCTCCTTTAAGGTCAGGTCTTCTGGGGTCCTACAGATATCAGTGACCTTGAATGCCTCATCTTATAAACTAACATAGACAATAAACACAATTTACTTCAATGCAGACGTGTTGGTTTCATCATTGTCTGAACTGTAATGATAGCCTGAGTTACGACAGTCTCTGGACTTGAACCAAGCTACAGTGGAGGAGTCATATTTTCATCATCTCAATCTATTTGCCCTTAAGCCAAGTATGATGTTGCAGTAAAAACTGCAGCTAAACAAGGAGAGGCTATTTCAGAAGCAGCACAACTACATTGTCTTACTTTTATTGAGTTGTTTAATGAATGATTACTTAACCACCACCCAGGCTGCATTGCTGGAAATGGGAGCGGTGAGAGGATTAGATTCAATTTGTAGCAGAGCCTCACCTTGGTGTAAAAAGCTGTCATCATTCAAGTTAATTTACTATCAGACATTTTGGTTTATGATGCCTGCTGGATAAGGCGAAGACGGACAAGAAACCACAGCATGAAAAGACAAACTACGCGTGGCTGCACAAAGGAACACGATCAGAAGCCGTGCCAAGTTGCCAACAGTCATTTCTGTTTTTTCTTCTCTGTGGCTGTCTGCCATCTAAGGCTAGCCCGAGGCTAACAGAGTGAGATCATGGCAGAGGCAAATATGTTACTCACTCGATGTCACAAGAGCTCAGTTTAGTTGAATTAATGACAAGTTCATTGGAAGAAAGATGAAAGCCAGCATTGTTTAGATACTTTGATGCTGTCTGTCTTGATATTGTCAAACTGCGGAGGCAACTGTAACATTCCCGGTGTGTGCAACCCTTATCTTCCTGTAACTGAATCCCTAACCACAATGTGTTGTTAACAACTACATGCAAAACAGTCACAGGATCAGTTACCTATAAAAAAGCAGTTTAATTACAGAGGTTATATGAACATCTTGGGAAATAATCTCAGCTAAAGCAAAAAGTCTTATCAGAGAGCTGCCTTGACTGTAGGCCTGCTTTATCTCACTGTGGTATTTTACGAAACCACATTGCGTTCTCATATCAGAGAAATGTTTGGTTAAGTGTAAGTCATGTCCGCAGGAGTTAAACCGGAGTTTGGTGTCCGTATCAGCAGGAATGTTGCCGTCTCAGGGTCAGAAAGTCCATCAAGGGCCTGGAGGGGTGGGGGGGGCATTCTTCACTCGGCTGACGGACTCTATTCTCAACCAGTGTTAGGTTTGACACACAAGCTGAGAGGAATGCCGAACGTCCTCGCTAAAGGTCTTAGACGCTGTATGGCATCGGATCTCACTGTGAAAGTTTTCAAGACGGGCTGGTGAGCTGCAGCGAGGCGTAGGAACAGTTGAGAGGTAGAGAGCGCAACAAGGCCAAACACATTTGAGGGGCTTTCAGGGCCTGCCAGGCGTGAGACAGGTGTGATTTTTCATGCATTTGCACAGCTGTGAGTTTATTCACCCTGTGCAAGCCAGACCAGTCACTATCAGTCTATTCCCACCATTCAAAATGAACTGTGACTATTGTGTCCCTGTTTTTAACATGCATGTGACTGGAAGAGGGGTAACAAGTAGGGCTGGTTTGAGGGACCACACCCTACATGTAATTCTGAGGGCTTGAAGACCAGGATGGAGCAACCTGGGCGGGTCTCACGGAGATTACTGCAGCTTAGCAGAACTCTATCTAAACTGTAGGCTATCAAAAAAGGGAGAGCTTGTTCAAACAATACATCTGATCCTGGTGCATTTTTCTGTAGTGACTGCAAACCCGATTATTTAAGACTACACTCACTTTTAGCGCCTCCATGTGGGCTGGGATGTTTACTCCCATGATGCAATGGATGGAGAAACCTAAACTTGGATATAGTATGTTTATAAAGTAAAGCATTCTGTGTAAATCCCCTCTAAGATTCATAAACTGTGGGAGTAATATCCAGTGAAAGAACAACTGATGAAAACCTCCCAGAAGCAGCGTGAGGCACTTTTTCCCTACAAAATTGCTACTGCTGCTACTGAAGAGTGACTCTGATTTTCCAAATGCTGTAAGCTTGAGCTAATATGACTCGAAGGGTCCTAATAAACTTAAACAAAAGCGCATTCATTGCACCAGTTGTTAAAAAAAAGCAGGGGTGCATAAAGAAGCTGATGTTCTGTATATAGCATGTTCTCAAATGTTCGGAAAGGGGGAAGAAGCAATCAAATCAGGGCACCTACAATTAAAATCTAAATAAATTAAAGAGAAATGAAAATTACGGAACATGCACATCGGCACTGAACAGTCAGCGTTTAGTGTGAGCAACATGTTGAGTTGTAGCTCATATTGGCCACAGGCTTTAAAAAGGGCACCTCCCTGCTTCAGGAGTTAAGACAATGCTGCCACCTGTATGTTTAAACCACAAGATGGGTGTTCACCATCAACCTCATTAAAACCTGTTGGAAAAACAGATGTCGCACCTTTTTACAACCAAAACACAATGATTCAAATTAGTTCAGGTATAGGCAGGCAGCTGCCAAAAGAAACACATGGGTGCAAAATAATTACAGATATAGATTTCTGTACAAAACCAGCAGATTTAGGATTAAGATATGACAATGATGTTGCTATGTGGGGATTGATATTTACAATCGTAAGAGTATCAAACTAAAGTGTGTGTGTGTGTGTGTTGAACAATTGTTCAAGTCTTTTTTCATTCTGTTCTCTACAAGCAGACGTGACACACAGTGTCAGTCCTGAGTACTCACTGCCCACAGTGACCATGTCACAGTGAGGATACACCAAAACCTTTAAAGAGCAATGTTTTCAGATTGAATAGATCAAGTGTGAATGTGTTAT